ATGATTATTGATTTTTTAATTTCCATTATTCATAATAATTAATAATAAATTGTTAATTGCAGACAACTGGAACGCCCATGAATGCTGCAAAGCGTTTGCAATTCAACCTCGAGATGGTTCCCATCGAAGATGTTCCGTACTTGGCCGACATCCAAGAAATGTATTATCCACTATTTTGGATTGAAGAAGGTGCCGCCTTGGGCAAAGAATATGTGAACCAAGTCAAAAATACCGTTCTTTTGTACGTATATTTCTTTGGCTGTATATCAAGATTTGGAATTTCATTTCAATTTATTTATTTTTTCTTTGCTCAGAGCGATCAAAATTCAAAAAATGCTGAAATGGTTGGGAATCATTTGCGGAATTTTAGGTATTATTCTCTCTGGCATTATATTTAGTGCTAAAATGGGCAAAGAACAAGCTGCCAAGACAAACTTACCTAGTCCAGTGAATAACATTGATGTTAAAGCTATAGAAAAATCGTTAACTTAGATAGAAATGTTTGTCTTTGTAATATTTATATACGATTTGAAAATAAAATTACAGACAACTAGCAATGTTGATATGTCTCGTTATAATTAGACTATATACATTATAGTCTAAATGAAACCGTCAATTATTTGTTCAACAATTTAGAAAATATCTAATAGTTTTTAAACTAAAAAATTATTCTACATAAATTATTAATTATAAATATATTAGAAGAAATCTGTTACCATAACAAAAAATACCGCTACACTTTTAACTTTATCAAATATTCATTTTTTCAAATCTGCTAAAAAATAGTTACACAATTCTAGAATGGAATTGTCTTGAAGGCGTGATACAATCAATGATAAGTAGTTACATAAGGCAATAATTTTATGTTACGAACAGACAGTAATTTTGCAAATGAAAATACACGTATTTTTTTTGTATAGAGACCTGGCCTTGACACGATCATTTGTCAGCCGGTAATTTCTCAATTGTATTATCAAATACGTTGTTATCAAATTCATTAAATCGATGACTCATGCAAATCCCCTTGCAATGTAAATGTGATACGAAAACAACGCGTCTGTGAATATGAAAACAACAACAACAGAAAATTGATGTTAATAAGAAATGACGTACTTTTAAATAAATAATTAGATTATTAAAGACAAAATGCAATGTTTCATTTTTTGGATTTGAATTTTATTTTTATTGTTATTTTTAACTATCCTATATTTATACAGCAACGTGACAATAACATATAAACCGATCGATGTCTAAATGCCTTTGAGAATGTGGAAGCGTATTGGGGGTAGTCATTGGCTTTGTGTATTTCTACAGCTAAAATGCTTTAAAAGCAAACAAACAATAAGCGGAACTTTTGCAAATCTGACAATTCGATATCAAATGGGCACCAATTCCGTGGCAACATTTTGGAAATCACGAAATTATATCGGCCATTTGAACATGAATAAAAACATTTATAAGAAACTGGAAATTATCAATTAAATAATTATTTTTGTGCAGAAAATTCTATGGTGCATTACTATTTTTTTTGAACATTTACAGTTGCGTCGAATATCCAGATATTCTAAAATATCTCAGATGGATATCCATCCGAAATACATAGAATGCCAATTTTTGTTCACCACTTTGTGTACTTTGTAATGACATCTTGACTTTTTGTTTTATATTGCAAGTTTCATTTATCACGCATGTGTGTGTGTTTTTTTTTGGTTTTCAGTTCCTTGTATGTATAAAATATGATAAAATTCTTTATATCAATAAACAAAACATAATAATTGACATTTTAGATTGAATATATAAATATTTTCAATCGGAACACTGAAAAACTGGCTCAATTCTAATGAAATTGTTTCAATTGCTCGTATGTGATAAAAAAGATAATATTCCACGGACCCATTCGGAACCACGTTGGAATGAATCCTTTGTACAGCGCCGAAAATCCTTCATTTCGCACTGTCTGTAAACCACAGTCAAAACTTCCTTTGTACAATCGGTGTGCCATTTGGTTCTGGTGATGTGAGACTAATTTCTTCTGGTTCATCAAACGAGTCTAAATCAATATGAATAGCAGAAATAAATTTGGTCAATGAATCAAATTTATAAATATAAAGAGTGTCTATTACCCTAATAACGTCTATTGGCGTTGAAGCTACAGCACTACCTAAACTAGCTATAAAACTAGATCTGAAAATAATGAAAATTAATTTGCAATTATATAACATTCAGTTCGATCGAAAATGAATTTGGTTTTACATAAAGTGATTGGCTACATGATCTCCAAACGTTTCGAGCAGATGTAATTTACAAAAATCGTATACAGGTAATTCGACGGCAGCAATTACAGCAGCTAAAAATATATAATTATCAGATAAGATTTGAGAATTTTTCCAATAAAAGATTTTTTTTTTATTTATTACCTCTTTGCGCAGTTGGCCCGAGACCCTGAAATTATATTACGAAAATTAGAATTTTTCTTAAAAAGCTATTTTTACATAGGTGGGCGAATTCAAAAGGTACACATTAACACCCCCTCTAAGAAATTGTAAAATTCCTTCGATTTGCTAAAGATTTAGATAGAATCAACTTTTGACATTATCCAACCGTCCCGCATGGCCACACTATTGTCTTTTGATTCAAATGAAAATAACAAAAAAGTGTAGAGTTTTGATACTTACTCGCCATAAACCTGAGATTCCCTCTTGGTGATAAATCTCCCGGAAGCAACCAATCAAACCAACTTTGTCCGTGCCACGTCCATGAACTTGCATTCTTACTTTTAATACATCGGTGGGTGTTGCTATAGCACTGCTAATTGCGCCAGCTAAAACGGAATCACGAAACAAAAAAAAAAGTTTGCATTAAAATTCAAGGCCAAGGAAAACTCATGTATTTTCTTTTCGTGAACGTTGTCGTTCTGTTGTAGTAGTGCTTCCATGAGTAGTACTCATCAATTGTCTCTATGACAGTGAAACTCGATAACTGTTTACATAAAAAAAACATGCAACTTTTATAGTTGCTTTGTGGTGCAGTTGAAACAAAACCACAAACAACGTCATCGTTCTTTACAGAAATAATTTTTGAATATAAATCACCTATAACTGCACACAAAACATTGCACCAAACCCGTTCATTTTCGTGTTTATCGATTAACCAGCCTTTTTCCGTGACTATATTCTTAAGCGTATAATAAGTACCAAATTTAATGGTTCCATAGGTTGCTTGTCGCAAAACCGCTGGCCAAATTCTGCAAAACAAGAATAAAGCCTCATGAAAAAAATCTGATTTCGATTAAATTGCGAAAAAGTTATAAAAATTTACCCTGAGTATAAAGCTTTAACACCTTCGTGACGTCGAATTTGTATGAATGCATCAATCATGCCCGTGTATCGTAGTTTTGTATGTTGCTGATCACATATTTGTCCTTGAATTTGCAGTCGAGTCTGGTGAAAACAATATTGATTTAAATTGAATGACAATTGCATCGACAAGATGACAAACAATGCGACATAAAACCATAGAGTAACTTGTATATACTTACTTTGGTCGTATCAATCGGAAATGTACCTGAAATATGATGAAAAAAAGACGATGATAGTTCGTAAACAAAACCAAAACCAATACATTGAGAGAAGTTAGGTTATGTGAACATAAAATTCAATTGAATTCGATGTGTAAATAGAATAAAGTGCATGGAATTACCAAATTCTGCGGTGATTGACGCCACTCCTGTGAAAAACATGTCAATTAAAAAATGTGTTATTTTTCACATGCAACAAATAATAAACAACAACAATTGTGTAAATTGTTATTTTGATTAGAAGCTCATTCATCATACCTCCGTAAACAAACGGCCGCCAATCTCTCTCTCCCATCCCGAGTTTTGTGTTCAACGTCACGATAAACACAAAATTGTTCCTTGATGACTTTTTGAAATATAATTTCTTTCTACACTTTAGTCCTTCAACTTTGTGAATTGTTTAAACCCTTCGGTTTGTTTCACTTTTTTTTTGCGTAAATTTGACCAAAGATTATACGTCTATTTCTGCTTTTTTCGCTTATTTATATTGAAATAACTGTCACATAAATTAACACACACTGTCACACCGATTTCGTCGCACATATTGAGCGATACAGATGATATTTAATCAAAAGCGAAAAAACGAAATCACAAATAAAACATGCGGTGTTGATTGACGACAGCATACACGCGTACACCGATACCAATTCAATATAATCACAACTTGTTTGCTCGAGTTAAAATGTCAAAAAACAACAATAACAACATCAACGCGAGCATTTCGCGAATGTTGTACGGTTTTCATATCAATGTCATGCTCAATGTTTACCTATGCATTGTGTCTAATTCTCTGCGTTTTCATCATCGCCTTTGAATGAACGAGAAAAGCCTTTCAACATCTCAAAATGACGATGATTGTGTTTGGCATGAATGAAAATTCATATTTTTTTCGCCAAACTCAACATTTTTGAACATTTCTTTTGAAAATTGAGTGAAAACAACTGACAAATGACATTTTTTTACGGAAATGATTTTTCAATGGTTACACATCACGAAATATGTTTCAGTGTATGAGAATTATTCGACGATGTAAAATGTCATGTTTTTTTTTTGACACAAAATGTCAAATCGTGTGATGTATGTGTGTGTGTGCTTTTCTCCGGCTATAACCAAAAACAAAGTAGCCAAAATGTTTTTAAAAAACATTGTTCATTTAAATTTACGAACACAAAGCATTGGCATTCGATTAAAATCAACGTATCTAAAAATAAAAGATGTGAACAACAGTCACGTTGGAAATACCATACAAATTAAAGGATGGGTGAATAACTTTCGAAAACAGAAAAAAATGATTTTTCTGGACTTAAAAGATGGTTCAACGAATGAGCATCTGCAAGTAATGGTCGATCGTGAAACATATCACCAAAATCCGGGACTGGGCTACGGTGCGGGTGTAGTAATCAGCGGAATAGTCGGAACAGCGCCGCGTGGACATTTGGAATTACGCGCCGAAACACTTCAATTGAATGGAACGTGTCCAACTGAAGATGGAATTTATCCATTTGTCCGTAAACAAACACATTCACCCGATTACATTCGAGATCATTTACATTTTCGCGGCCATACAAATCAATTCCAGTCGATTTTCCGCGCACGACATTTGGCCACGCATGCATTTCATCGGTATTTCGTCGAAAATGGATTCTGTTACATACACACACCGATACTCACCACAAATACGTGTGAAGGAGCCTGTGAATTATTTACAGTTAGGCCACTAAATGAAGAACTGTTGGAATCCATGCAGAGTAAAACGACACCAAAACTCAAAGACGACATTTACTTCAATCAGAAGACCTTTTTGACCATTTCTGGCCAAATGCACTTGGAAGCGATGTGTTTTCGCTTAGGATCGGTTTACAATTTTGGTCCGATATTTCGTGCAGAGAATTCACGTGGTCCGATTCATATGAGTGAGTTTTATATGATTGAGGCCGAAGAGAGTTTTGTTGAAAGTATTGAAGACGTCACAAATCGCATTGAATCAACAATTAAAAGTGTTACGAAGCAATTGTTGGATGAAAATGCAAAAGAAATACACGACGCACACAATGCGTACAGAGCCAGTTTGGAAGATCAAACCGAAAGTCAGAGTTTAGAGGAACGTCTCAATTGGATTGAAAAACCGTTTGAGACAATTACTTATGCGGAGGCCGCAGAAATATTGCAAAAACATTACAATTCAAGTGCAAATGATGGATTGTCGAAAAGTGACGAATTGACGCTGGTGAAACACTTTGGTAAACCAGTATTTGTTGTGAATTGGCCGAGAGAGTTGAAAGCATTCTATATGAGGAGATGTAAACACGACCAACAATTGGTTGAAGCTATTGACTTGTTGATGCCACATGTTGGGGAATTGGCCGGTGGCAGTGTACGTGAAGATAATTATGACATCTTGAAATCATCAATGCCAGACGATTTGCAATGGTATTTGGATCTTCCGATTATTTTTCGATTATTTTAAATTAATTCGATTCTTTTCATTTGTGATTCTCCACTTAGGTATTTGGATCTTCGAAAGTATGGTGGTTGCACAACGGGCGGGTTTGGTATCGGTTTTGATCGGTATTTACAAGTATTGCTTGGCGTTAGCAACATAAAGGACACCATACCGTTTCCACGGTGGCCACATAATTGCCGCATGTAGTTTATGATATTTTTCTAGCCATAAAATGAAATTTTAGTCAAATATAACGAGAATTGATTCATAAATGAAATTTTGTTGTTGTTTAAATATTGATCCTTAGTTTCTGTCATTGGGTTGTTTTAGCTTACGAAAATTTTATCATAAATGAATACAACATTGAGCAGAACAAAGAGACACACCAAATGGTGCCGTTTTCAAACACTCATAAGAAAGAAACACTACAAAGTGTCACCATAAAAGCTGTTGATAGGTTTCGAGATTGACAGTGACATTTTATGTATGCTTCACTTTATTAATAAAAGAATAAATCAAAATAAAAGCCAACACTTTTCTACGTCTTAGCAAAAAGTCTGTTCAATTTTTTAAAAAATTAACCAAAAAAACACAGCATAAGTACGAATTCACACAATGGCCGAAGCAGGATCTGAAATTGAAGCTTCAACATCAAACGGTAATAAAATTGTTTCGATAAAAACCACAAAGAAAATGCAATGTTCTCTCTCTCCCTTTATTTAGAACGCAATTATGTTGTACCGGTACGATCCGTAAAAAGTGTGAACGATATGGCATTTTGGGAGAAATCGACTGCATATTATGATATAATTGGTTTTATCAATGCCATCAGTCAAGCAATACAAGGTAAAAAACTATCCACAAAAGTGGATGCATCGCCAATTGCTGATAATCTCGTACAGGTGTTTGAAGTACTGAATAAACTGGTCGATGAAACACCACCACTAGAACAACCGCAACGTTTTGGTAATAAAGCATATCGGGAATGGTTTGAAAAGATGAAAATCCAATCGCCAGACCTTTTGAAACGTGCTCTGCCAGCCGAATTTCATCCAGCACTCATCGAAGTCGCCGAATATTTCACCGAATCATTCGGCAATGCCACACGAATTGACTACGGAACTGGTCATGAGTTGACATTCATTATGTTTTTGTGTGCATTATACAAAATTCATGCGTTAACTGAAAGTGATAATTTGCATACTGGTTTGAAAATATTCAATGAATATTTGCTATTTGTGCGTCGTTTGCAATTGACATATCGTATGGAACCGGCTGGTAGTCATGGTGTCTGGAGCCTAGACGATTACCAATATGTTCCGTTTATTTGGGGAAGCGCACAGTTGGCCGTGAATGCACCGTTTGAACCGCATCATTTTCTCGAACCCGACGTTATCGATCGTTACAAGAACGAATACTATTTCATTGGATGCATTGACTATATTCTTCAGGTTTGTTCAATGACGTTATCTATTCTAAATTTCAATTCATTTTACGCATACAAAATAGGTGAAGACGGGTAGTTTTGCAGAGCATTCGAATCAACTATGGAGCATCAGTAGCGTTGATTCATGGGTAAAAATCAATTCTGGTCTGGTCAAAAAGTACCAAAAAGAGGTAATTTACTTACAAGACATTTTTGAGGGGATTTCCTTTGAAATTTGATCAAAATTGAACTAAATTTTATAACAAAATTGTCTATGTCATTACAGTTGCTTGCCAAATTCCCTGTGATTCAACATGTGCTATTTGGTTCTATCCTCGAATTCAAACGAATCAAAGAAGGAACCATACTACCAACAGCCCGATTAGGAATGTTACCTCCGCGCCGAGCACCCGCACCCCCTTCGTCAACATCAACAGCACCGCCAACTGCACCTTCTTCATAAGTTTACAAATTAAGCCATTTTTTCCGTGACTTTTTTTTCATCATTCAATTTTATTTGTGTCACTTCATTTAGTTTGTGAGATGGATTTTCATCATTTAAATAAAAAAAAACGTTTTTTTTCTTTGTTTGATGCATTTATTGTTAATAAACAAGAAATATAGCTTTTGACAAAAAAACTACGATTTGATTTTTTCAATTACGATTGTTGTTTACTTTTTTGGTGGTTGCCACGCTTCGATTTTTGGTTTCACCGTTGAATATGGCATATATTGATCTAAAAATATATGAAAATTGGGTGTTAACATCATTTTTTTTCATGAAACAACAGTACAGAGGTGATTCCAAACCTGGTGTGCCGGAGAGATTTTCCGAGTGGTCCGACATCCATTTGTATTGTGGCCGATGTGGATCTTCACTTGGAATGCGGTCAGTCTACGAATTAAAAAAAAAAAAAAAAAACAGAAAAAATTGGTTGAAAGTCATGGTGAATGTATCACTGTTGCCGTACTTTATAGTGCATCCAACCGAACCATTCTGGTGGAATTTGCGAGGCATCATATTGCATATGAACGTGTGGTGCATATTCAACCCATCGATTACGTCCATAGAAATAGAAATTGTTTTCAAAGTATCTATTTCCATATTTATCCGTGCCGACCAATGTTCCAATTTTCAAATCATCGAACCTTAAATCGGAAAAATCATACGTAAATTCGATTTTCTGATGCTTTACTCTAGAACATTACATAATCACAACACCAAAGGGGTGCTTGAATTGCGATTCAAAATACATACCTGTACAATTTGAACAAACTGTTTCGGATGCCACCGTTGAAACGAATTATTTCCCAAAGTCGACATACTTTGTCCAAGCCGAGAAGTTGCGGTAACTTCGACATTTTTCTGAATGGAAATTATCAAAAGTTCAATGCGAGCAAATTTTTTTTTCTCTCTCGTCTACAATAAAGTTTTTTTGTTTTGACATTTCATCTGTCATGGAAGAGTGTCAAATACATGAAAAACATTCAATAGGTTTTTTTTAAAGAATTAAACGCATCCATTTCAATGATATAATACAATATTGTGTCTTTTTTAAATGATGTACACGACCATATCCAACCAGCTTTTTTAACGAAACATTTTTTGTCCGAATTTCCATTTTCATGACCGATCATGTGCACAGACAAAAAATGTCATTAAGCAAATCATTTGTATGTATGCTAATGTTTTGCATCCGAGCTGCCAGATGAACGAACACTTGTTCATTTGTTTTGTTTATATTATGCGAAGTGCTTCGGTTGGACCATTGCCGACATTTAACAATAGTTGGATGAAAAGAGATAGCATCCATTTGTAAACAATACAAAAGCGATAATCCACAACTGAACTTATTTTCACGACGCATATTCGACAGCACCGGCTAAGTGATTTAACATTAACACGCTCATTGAGGTTATTGATTTGCATCGATCATCACTTCTTACGATTGAGAGCTACTATTCGAGATCAACTTTTTTTTTGTGTGTCATTCAACGAAATTCAATTTTTCATCAGCAAAAATGGAAGCCGCCTGGATCAAAAAAATATTTTTACATTTGTTGGAAGGATTAAATGATATTGTCGACGTAAGATAAATATTTTTTTCAAATGTTGACATTTTTTGCGACGCATTTTTTTCATTTGTTGCTTTTGGTATTTTTCGTCGTTTGATTTTAGATTGTCGACATGGATAAGGTAATGCAAACCATCACGATTTTCGACCAAATTCAACCGACAAAGGAACAATTGGTAGCGTCAAATGTTGAGGAGTGCATAAAAGAGTTATATTATGACACACCGAATGCATATCTTAAGGTATGTGTTAAATTATTCATTCAATTACTATATATTTTCAATTTAATTTTTATTGATACGATGGGAATCTATTGTAGTATCGATTGGGTTTTGTGATAAAGAAATGGCGTACAATTCTTGAAAACGAAACAGTGAAACCGGATAAACCAGGACGCGCTAAATCCAATTCAGTATTTGAAGCAATCATAATGGACGATGATCGATTTTTTGAGACGAAAAGCGTGCCAGAGCTATTGCATCGCTTGCTTAAATCATTCGATAAAAACTACAAGGTACATTAACGTTGTTCCAAAGTGAAAAAGACATTGGAAAATTTGTTTCATGTGTAAATGGCAATATGTCTTGTATATTTACAGGTGATTGATATGGCAACGATTTTGAATACAATTTCGATGTTTGAAAACATGGATATTCCGGCATCACAATTGGCACAAACCCATTTGGTTACATACATTAGTCGATTGCGACACAATACCACAAACAAGTACCTGTCAAAACGGCTGCGAATGCTTCTCCGAAAATGGCAAATTTCGTTTATCCGTATTAAATAGAAATGTTATCTTTTTTTATGGATAAAGTTATGTTCTGCAAGTATATGTTATCGTTGATAGATGTATTTTGAGAACAGATTCAAAAATGGTATTCAATGGACAATACCAATTTTTTTTGATGAATTTTAACAGTGAATAGAGAATAATTTTTTCGGTAATAGTTTAAAGAAAATTTAGATAAAAGAAACATTGTTTTTGGTAAGATTATGTTTAAAAAAAAAAAATAGTGCAAAAGGTTACTTAAACATATTCATAGCATAGATATTATTAGTTTAAATGATCAAAACCATTCTAATTTATTTAAATTCTCTATAGAGAATTATTTCTTGTCATGAGCTAAATTAATATTTATTCTTTTTTCAATTTCCTCACGGGATATATGTGATCCTAGAAATAGAATATCTTTTGTAACTAGTTGTTGACATACATGTTATTGTTATTGGAAATTGTGTCAACAAAGTATACATCTTCATTGAGACAAACTTAAAGTTGAATAATAATAAATAGTTGATTGCATACAATGAGTCATGTAGAAGTAAATGGAAGTAAATTGATAAGAAACGAATGATGATCAATGCTAATTGTAATCTGAACAAAGACAAACTAAGAAATACCAAATGCTATCTATTTAATAATACGAATAGCAAAATATTTATTATAAAAATGCCTCGAAATGATAATCCGATTTTTATCTGAATTTGAAGTATTATTACGGAACTATTTATATATACTAAAAATAAAATAGGCTAGGAACATATGAACCGGCTAGAATATTCGTGACCTCAAGAAATTTGTCAAAATAAAACTTCAACGTACCCATACATTTTTTATATGAACATGTTGCTCTTTTAGCTCACGAATATTCTAACCGATTCATATATCGTTTACGCGATATGATGGAATTGAGCTTAAGCGGCTATAATTGTGTACAGAATTGTTTTCTTCTCAAAATCACTATAATATGCTGCCATTGCTTGAATGAGTTTAATTTCATCAAATGTAACACTGGGATAAGTTTGAATCTCCCCAAAAAATGATTTTTCACTATATTTTTCTCTAGATCTTTTTTCCATTTTTTTTCTTCATATTTTTAATATCAATGCCTTGTCAAATATGTCAATTAAATAAATTAAGACAAATTAAAAATACTGAAGGATACATTTTTTCCAATTTACTAAATTACTCATTCGATTTGAGTATTATGTTATTTTGAAGGTCATTGAACTCTGTGATTTTTTTTTGTTTAAAGGATACAGTTGATTCAAGGTGATTTCTTTTTCGGATAAACTTTTGAACATTTAGTAAAAAGAAGGTAAAATTGGAAGGTCAAATGACGTTTACGTATGGAGTATGAGTTTGGTTGAAGAATATATGAAAAATTATAATAATATCATTTTGAATTATTTTTGAACTTTTAATATTTTCCTCCTTACTTATATTGCTCTGAGAAACCGTCTCGGGTTTGTATGGTATGATCTGCAAAGTACACTTACATCAATATGATAATTTCAAAGAAGTCTGTCTCCTTTTTTTAACTTACCTTAAGTGTGCGGTCAAAAGTGCATAAATAAGCTTAAAATCTTTATTTGTAGTTATTATCCGAATTCAAGGCTGTCTAGACCGTCTAGTTTAAGAGTGTTAAATTAGGATCACTTTCAGATTTCATACTATACATACACAATTTCTCCATAGTTAGAAACAGCATCTTTTGATTTTCGTAAAACTAAAATATTTTGTATTCCTATGCTAATCGTTTGTATATTTTTATTGGTTCCAAAGTTCACATCAAAATGGCAAATTGGTGATTAGAAAGAACACAGAGTTGCATGCGTTTAAAATATTTAGTTGTTTTTAAAATTTGGCCGAAATAGAACGCATTGTTTCAACTGACATATACCTCATTCCGAACATCTAACGCTTTTTATTTTTGTGGTCGTCTCGGAATTTTTATAATTTCACAGAATTGATCTTTATTGTATAATTAAAATTCATCTATACAAAATTCATAATCGGTGTAATAGTTCTAAATGTAAACGTACAAGGTAATTCAATAATCAACTAACTTAAGAAAATTTAAATCGATTTGAATGATCAGGTAAGTTCGTATCCATATTTTGATTTATTGAACAAAAATTTCTTATTTATTATTTGAACATTTTTGATTTGATAGAAACCGTGAAAAATGATAGAAAAGATGAAACTCACGGATATGAATCTAGATTGCATTGAGAGCTGTTTGGAGCATTTAACATTTGACGATCTTTTGATTGCGGCTGATTCTAATAAACGATTAAATCGTGCCGCAAAGTCTATTTATTACCGAAAATATCGTTTACGGGTAATTTATTCCAATTCAGGAATAAAATTTGCATTTGTACCTGCTGAGATGCAAGATACTTTATTTATGGAAAACTGGAGACTAAGTTTACGATTTCTGCGCTGTTTTGGAAATTTTGTAACTAAAATCGAATTTAAATTTTATAAAGGAACAGATTTGATATGGATCCAGCGTACAATTGAATACATAAACGAATATTGTGGCGAATCCTTGGAAGACATTGAATTAATTGGAATTCGAGATTTACCAGAACATCTCAAAAAACCATTCACTAGAGTCAAAAAGATAAACTTTGTCAATTGTTATTTCTCCGATCGGATTGAAAAGGATTGGTTGAATACACTATTTCCAGGCATGCAGGAACTTCGAATACATTTGAGTCAAGTTCTTTGTGAACTATTCTTACACAAATTAAGTACAAAAGGTTCACGATCTAATCGATTTTCACTGAAGGAATATTTAATTTGACGCGCCAAATCTCGAAGTTCGTGGTTCGACATTGTGTGAATCCAATATCAGAGCTGGTTCATTTAGTCTCATTGCACGCCACAATCTATGGAAATAATAACAGTAATTAGGATAATTTTAGCAGGAATATGCCATTAATATGGGTCTTACTTGAAATTTCTCCATTTGTTCATTGTTTGTTTTCTTATTTCCGAAAATTGTGTATTATGTCCTAGGCCAAATTTTCGAGAAAAAATAAAAACAAAAAAAACTTTTAGAATTAACAATAAGTAAAAAACACTTCTTTGGAAGTTCTCACTGTGACGCAATACTGCACATCAAATCTGAAAATGATCTGATATAAATTTTCAGTGACGCTTACAATCAAATACACAAACAATTTTTATATTGCGTTGCCTCTCTCATTCTTAGAAAATTAAAAATTAAAATTTCATTCACAACACATGCCGCGCCATCTAGCGATCATTTTAGAAATTTCCAATCTGACGTCAGATCTGGATAGCTGAGGTTCGTAGCTTTCCAGCGACATATAAATCATTACCTCACCTTTCATATGGACAGAAAGTAGGCCATTCGATGAAAAACTGAAAAAGTGCATTCCGATCTTCGATTTCCATGATTACAAAATACCCTCGAATCGTTTTACCGTACCGCTTGGGTTCTTATTTCGTTTGTTTGCAATACATTTGATTTTAATAACAACTATTTTGACAGCGAAACACATATCAAATCTAAAGAACACATTTTGACAGTTGCATTTAGTGCTAATGAACCATTTAGCACGGTTGGACTAAAATCCAAAAAGTACTAAAATTCAAACATAAATAATTTGACACAAAAATAGAGTTTTTTCGGCATTTTTTGTCACCGAATATTAATTAAAAAGCAAAATTATGAATAGCAGAAAATCTTTCAGTGAAGAAAAGCAAAAGTCAAACTAAAATGTACTTTTTTGTCTTAAACGAAATTATTCCACAATTTATGTCCCATAGACATCTGTTTTGACAATTGAAAATGTTATTTACTTGATTTGAGAGTAATTTTGTACTGTAAACATGCTGACAAATGTCAAAACTAACCAAAGACTTAAGGTCTTCAATTGAATCTTAATATTATAATATCAAAATCCAATCAGGATTTATTTGGCGAAAGTTTGAATAAATTCAATATAAAAATGTTAAAGGTGTGTTCGGACCTCAATCAAACTATAACAAAAAATTATTTAACAAAAGATCGTTTCTTTTCTTTTAGACTCTTGTAACGTTGGTAACTGGTGGAGCGTCCGGTCTGGGCCGCGGCACAGTGAATCGATTTGCAAAGAAAGGTGGACAAGTGATATTTTGTGATTTGCCCACATCAAAAGGTGAAGAGGTAGCTAAAGAAATTGGAGAAAATGTACAGTTCATTCCGGCTGATGTGACATCGGAGAAAGATATTCAAAATCTCGTGGATGAAATAACAAAAAAATATGGAAAACTTAATCTAGTGGTGAATTGTGCTGGAATTTACAAAACAAATATTTTATACAGTTCGGCACGGACGACACCCTTAAATGACTTCAAAGACGTCTTAATGGTATGTTCAATAAAATTCAGTTCCCTGCCGTTCATATTTTATTCGGATCGTTTTTTTTTTTCGGTAGACAAATGTGGTGGGCACATTCAATGTGATTCGATTAACTGCCGGATTACTTTCAAAAAATGAGCCCGATGGTGATGATCTTCGCGGTGTCATCGTCAATACTTCAGGTATGAACGCATTCAAAGGAACACTTGGCCAAACGACAAATTCAGCCGCATGTGGAGCCATTCACAGTATGACGAAACCATTAGCAAGCGATCTGGGTGGCGAAGGGATTCGTGTTGTCACAATCGCACCGTCTTTTATCAAAACTCCAATGAACGAACATTTTTCAGAAGCATTGCAACATACAATTTGTAGTGACAGTATTTCCGCCCTAAACCGATTTGGTGATGCAGACGAATTTGCCCATCTTGTACAGACAATTGTATCAAATCCATATATTAATGGCACCACCGTTGAATTATCGGCAGGACTACGAGTATATTTATAACGGGAAAATATAATCGAAGAACTTATGGAGTATTTAGTCAAATATGTATGTCTTATGAAGAAAAAATAAAAACAAAAAAGAAAGTTTTAGAATTAACAATAAAAAAAAAACGGTTGAACAAAGTTTCATAACATTACATTTGATTTCATCAGATAAATATTTGAATATTCGCACGCACTCGACTTCTTTAGACATTTATTTGGTTTAAAGAATGAATTTGACATTTGTTATATAAACCTAGGTTTTTTAAATTTTGATGTAATAAAAACAAAATTGAACTCAAATGTTTTTTCTATTACATGTAATAAATAAATAATTTTCATTCGTTTCATTATTCCGATCGCACATGATATAATAGAAAATATAATGCCCAACACCCGTCTATTTAATGATATATACGCCGGTCAAATCTGAAAAATGTTGAAAATAGATTTTATTTCTCAGGTCATCACATATGTGATGATGTGATGTGTGCCTTTTGTAACTAGTGGTTGACATGCATATTATTCAAAATTGTGTCAACAAAGTGCACATCTTCATTGAGACAAACATAAAGTACAAGTACAACAGTTGATTGCATACAATGTGTCGTATGTAGAAAACATATTGAAAATAAAAGGAAATGAACTAGTAGGCAACGAACAAAGCCGGATATCAATTTTTATTGTAATCTCGGCGAACAATGACGTTGACAAAAGAGTAAGAAGTATCAAATGTGACAATAAGAAGAGTGCAGAGAAACAATGTGATCACGTTCATTTGAGTATGTGTGTATGCATTGCAGAGTAAAGCTAACCAAGTTCTTGAATGCGACAGACTTGAGCGTTTCTCATTCTCTATTTCTCTCATATGACTAACGGCGATTTAATGCACTCAAACGTGCACACATTCATACAATTACCACATAATGCCGAATGCAATAAAAAGACTGCAGTGTTTTATTTTCGGATGTAATTTGTTTGAAAAATTGCGGAAGAGAATGTTTACCGTTGTTATTGGCAAACGTTTGCAATAAAAGAAAACAAAAACTTTACATTATTGGTCGGCAACAAAAAGGTATGCTTGTGTGGAGTTGGCAAAGCATAGTGTAACAACCGCAATGAATATAATGAGTTTTGTCACTGAAAAAAAGACAAACACTGCTATCTATTTTATTCGATTTTTGACATTCGATGCATCAAAGAGATAGTAGTCTGTCATCAAAACCTATACACTGCCATGAAAATAGTATGCTTTGAAATGAGTCCCAGAAGAATTTTACCGAAAAATTGTCTTCTATTTGCTTTTAAATGTTTGACACACAATTCAATCGATTTTACAATTGCGTCGATTGTACATGTAATGAATTGACAATAAACGACGTACTGAACGATTTGTTTGTCTTGAACATTGTGAAATGAGAGCTAAAAAAGGAAAAGGAAACAAGATAGGGATAGATTTGGAAAAGTGAAAAAAAGTGGTGCTGACAAAATCCACAAGCGTATATAGGCGCGCACACCAGATCAATTATATTGAGTAAATATTTGCGGAGCGTTTTAACGAATCCCCAAACTGAAATGTTCCTTCACATGCCACTCATTATTATGTCGATGCTTGGGATTTTGGCAACGACGACGACCATGACGATGATGATGTTCGTTTCAACCATGAAATATGCAATTCAAACTCGAACGAACCGCAGGCGATTATGATTTTGAGTAAACTTTTTCGAAACATCGAAGCGAAAAGAATCATTGTAGCATATTCGTAAAGTAAACCTTTATTTTGGAACACATGTTTTTTTTTTGTTGCAAATGCCTTAATGAGATCCAAGCTCTTTTGGTTAAATTTTTTATGAGGCATAAATTCGAAAAACTCAAAGAAAAACAAATAGCATTCACGAAACGCTGTCAGCAAAGTGATGAGCTGTCTTTCAAATATGCGAATCATCAAGTGATTTTACCTTTCAAGTGGATATTGTGAATCGGATGTAAATATATAATATTCTTCGAAGTAAAACTTTGTGCGGCTCGTATGAGCAACAATTCACACCTCCCTCAAAATACTACATAACGAATCAATAACTTTGTTGAAATCTTCCTCAACCACATATACTTCAAATTCCTAACATTCAACTACCAACGTCAATGCGCTTTGTTATCATCGCACCAACACCTCTGTCATTATTCGAGCCCTGTTCATTCAAATTAATTAAATGTTTTCTCTTTGAATTGCTCGCATCCCATTCAATTGATTTTATACAATCTCATTTGAATCGGACTGTTGCTTTGAACGGATGTGTGTATTTGTATGCCTTTTGATGAAGATTGCATGCCAAAATTATGTACTTTGGAAAGGACCTTCAATTTACTCGATTGAATTTTGGATACGTGTGCTTGACGGACGATGGCAATAACGACCTAATTTACACAATGTTCGACTTGTCAGTCTCTCAGCCATTTAGATTCACTTAATTATTTTGGCTCGGCAAAGCGATACCATTTCAATTGAACAACATGTAAAAGACATGCAACGCTTGGAAGAGGACCAAATGGACGAATGGTTTTTTATGAATGCTTGAGGCTTCCATTCAGTGTTTGATTTGTCTCTTTCAGATTTGACGCAGAGAGAAAAAAATTCATGATGAAAAGGTACTGTACAGGCGTCAAACATCGCTATGAATGCAAAAAAGATTGGTGTGTGATTTGTTATCTAGTCGTATTGTAATGAAGACAGATGTACAAGTGTGTGTCTGTTTTTTTGGTGTGTTATCATGACATCTTATTTCGTTTTTTTTAAAGAACATTTCAACATTTGTAACATGCCAAGTGCTCAGGGTATTGATCTGAGTCACCATGTGACACGGCTTTGTTAGTGGATCTGATAAATTCAATTCATGCCTTTTTTTGGTAGTGACCAGTCATTTTGAAATCAAAGATTTTTCACAACATAATGCCAAGTGTATAAATACCTAACACGCAATACACTTTGCAAATCAAAACTGAAAATTGCAACCTCTGTTGCTGGATGTTATACTGAATGTGAAAGATTTTTTTCTTATTGTCTGTCTCTGTGCGGTGTGCGACACATTTTGAGCCATCATTTTGTTCGCCCCTTCTGATCACAAATATGCGATTTCAATTAGCTTTATGTATAACTGTCACAAACACTTCATAATTTTTCAGGGTTATTTCTATATTTACGCATTCAATTTGTGGCAGGCGATTAAACGTGTCATCTATTATTTATGCGTTTGTGTATCAAACCATACACGCCCTCTGCAATTCATATTCTGGTTGAAAACCACCGAAATTATACACGAAAAATCGTTTAGCAAAAATATGAAAGTTTATCGATGGGAAAGAGAATCGTAAGCTCATTATGAATTAAATGCTCGTTCGCGATTTCACAACACCATATTAATTTTAATGAGGACACATTCGAAATGAGGGCGAATAAACAATTAATCAGAAAATAAACGTTGATTCGAAACATTTTCATTGTATTACTTGCTGCAGCCGTTTCGCATCTGCTCAGATCATGATGCTCGTGTCGCAAATATTTGTTGGATAAACGTTTTTCTCTCGTTCTTTTTCTTCCAATCGCAAGCAGCCAAATTCTCAAAAATTGTCGAAATTTTTTTTCTCGATTTTTTTTATTCGAATCGTGTATTGCAAGTTGCAACACATTGAAGTTTGCTGGATGCGACTGTATTCTTTTTATAATGGCTATTCATTATTCACAGTCTGCTGCACAGATAAAGATATATTGTTGTTAAGCTTCAAATATCCATTGAATCAAAAGACAAAAACGGAACAAAAAATTAGCTACTCGTTCGCAAACCAATTCGGAATTATTGTTTATTACAACTATCGATGAAATTGCAGTGGCGAAAATTGAATGCACCATATATCAAAACACCATGCTCATTTCAAACATTGTTGGATTTTCATTTTTGTTAATCGCTTAATATTTATACAACAATGGAATGAATGAACAACACAACTTGTCTACAACACAAATGCAATGGCTCTTTCTCTCTCTTTTTTACCAGTACTTAAACAACAAATGTCTGAATTTGCTACTTAGCTATTGCTTCAAGTCTGTAACTACAATTGCACAACATTTTTAATGCTCAATAAATTTCTGGCGAGAAAAAAAAAATCAGGTTAATCCGAATATCCTTTGTTAAATTGAATGCCAAAACATTTGGCATTTTTTTAATACACACAAGAAATATAAATCCTTGCCAAACGGAAGATTCACTTTTCAACTGTAAAACATAAGTTAATTCCAACAAATGAAAATGTGTGATTTGTAACTTTTTTATCCAGTCTAAAAAGTAATGCGGCAACAAAAAAATAATTTCAATGAACATTTATTTGAAAGGTTCTTTTAGCTGGAATTTGAATTTACAGATAACTCGAAATTTAATCGAATGAATAAATGAGATTTTGTTAAATTTTCTGCTATCATTATAACCATTCCATATGGAATGTTAAATTAATGCAAAACAAAAAAAAAGGTTCAGAATATGGAAACAAAAAACATCCGATTAATATCAAAAGATTCAGACTCTGGCTAACTGAACAGTTGCTGCTTTTTATAATTTCGGTTCAACAAAACTTATGGCGATTAAGTGTTTTCGTCATAGAGCGCTCTCTATCGGCACATACATTATTTGATGACACCACATTGATGGTAATGGAAGTGGGAAGGTGAATATTTTAACGAAGTTCTAGTGAACAGAAATGACAACAAGTAGCAGCTGCTTACCAGTTAACCAGAGCCTATGTGTGTTGATATCAAAAGTCACTTGGTTACGAATATGTAATAGTTGGTTTTTATCAACTTGTGTGTGTGTATTTACTTGCTAATGGGATGGATTTGAATGTTTGCAATATATGTAATGGATTCGGGTTGAATTTTTTCTTTCTTTAATTTTCCGAGTGAAACTCCATCATCGTTTATATTAAGAGGATAAGTTTCGAATTTGAATGCAAACAAAATGTCGAATGTGAAATTCACGACAAAATTATGATTGTATGTGAATATTTGAATGATGTGTATGTATATGTTCGAGGCAAACGATACCCATATATTGCACAAACAAACATTAGTGTAAATATGTATTTATCATTTATCAAAAGAAAATGTAAATTGTATGTTGTTTATATGTTTTGATGCTTGGCGAAGAAAAAACAACCATTCGAATATAAGAGAACGGGCTGATAAAAACCGTGACAGATGAGTCGTTGCAACCACCGCAGCAGCAACAGCAGCAGTGGGCGAAGAACAT